AACAAGAGCAAAACTCTGTCTCAAGGGGAAAAAAATGCCAGGTGAGGTGGCTCATGTCTGTAATCCCAGCACTTTGGGAGGCTGAAGTGGGTGGATCACGAGGTTAGGAGTTCAAAGACCAGCCTGGCCAAAATGGTGAAACCTTGTCTCCACTAAAACTACAAAAATTAGCCAGGCACAGTGGCAGGCGCATGTATTTCCAGCTATTCTGGAGGCTAAGGCAGGAGAATTTCTTGAACCCGGGCGGCAGAGGTTGCAGCAGCCAAGATCATGCCACTGCACACCAGCCAGGTGAAGAAATGAGGCTCCATCTCAAAAAAAAAAAAAAAAAACCTACAAAAACTAGTTGGCCATGGTCATGCATGACTGATTCCAGCTGCTCTGGAGGCTGAGGCAGGGCAGGAGAATTGCTTGAATCTGGGAGGCAGAGGTTGCGGTGAACCGAGATTGCACCATTGCACTCCAGCCTCGGCAACAAGAGGGAAACTGTCTCAAAAAAAAACCCACGGGTCCCAGCGTGGATGGTCTTTTTTTTTTTTTAAGAGATGGAGTTTCACCATGTTGGCCAGGCTAGTCTTGAACTCCTGACCTCCTGACCTCAAGTGATCCTCCCACCTCGGCCTCCCAAGCATGGATGCATCTCGAGGACATCAAGCTCAGTGAGAGACGCCAGACACAGAAGGCTACACAGTGTATGATCCTATCCCTGTGAAATGTCCAGGACAGGCTCCTCCACAGAGACAGGAAGTGGATTTGTGGTTACCAGGAGCAGAGGACTTGGAGAGATGGGAAGTGACAGCTAATTGGGTCTGAGGTTTCTTTGTGGGGGGCGTGGAAAATGTTCAGGAATTAGCGGTGATGGTCACACAACCTTGTGGGTACACTGAAAACCACTGAATTCTAGACTGTGAATGGGTGAATTGTAGGATCCGTGAATTATGTTTTTCGGGTTGTTTTTTTTTAAAGGAGTCTCGCTCTGTCACCCAGGCTGGAGTTCAGTGGCACAATCTCGGCTCGTTGCAACCTCCGTCTTCTGGATTCAAGTGATTTTCCTGCCTCGGCCTCCTGAGTAGCTGGGATTAGAGGAACTCATCACCACACCCGGCTAATTTTTGTATTTTTAGTAGAGACGGGGTTTCACCATGCTGGGCAGGCTGCTCTCGAGCTCCTCACCTCAGCTCATCCACCCACCTCGGCCTCCCAAAGTGCTGGGATTACAGGCATGAGTCACTGAGCTGGGCCAGTGTGAATTAATTACATCTCAAAAAAAAAGCAACAAGGCCGGGCCTGGTGGCTCAAGCCTCTATTCTCAGCACTTTGCGGGGCTGATGTGGGCGGATTACAAGATCAGGAGTTCAAGACCAACCTGGCCAACATGGCAAAACCTAGTCTTTCCTAAAAATATAAAAATTAGCCAGGCACGGTGGCACGTGCCTGTAATCCCAGCTATTCAGGAGGCTGAGGCAGGAGAATCGTTTGAACCCGGGAGACAGAGGTTGCAGTGAGCCGAGATCATACCTGTGCCGTCCACCCTGGGCGACAGAGCTAGCTAGACTCAGCCTCAAAAACAAAGAAACAAACAAAAAGCGACAAAACAAAAAGCACCAAAATCAGTGCCTGACCGTAAGCGCTGAACGGTGGCGAGCTGTTATTCTCTCACTAACCAGGTGAGAAAACAAACCTCATCACCAGCCAGTGTCTGACAGGCTGGGATTCTGGAACCCGGGAGAATCTCCGGATAGTTCCCTGGGCCCCACCCACCCTGGAGGAGCCCCCCATCAGCTGCGTCTCTGACGGTGAATGCCAGGGAAGGAGGGTCCGGCAGCCCAGCCCACCTCCTTGTTATTACCCACTCTGTGCCCACTTCCTGGTAGCCCTCCCTGCTTTCCCGCCTTTCCTGGTGAGAAATCCAAAGCTCATAGCCTGTAATCCCAGCATTCTGGGAGGCCCAAGTGCTGGGATTTCCAGCGCTTTGAGAGGTGGGAGGATCTCCTGAAGACAGGAGTTCATGAACAGCCGGGGAAACAGAGCAAGACCCTGTCTCTATAAAAAATTTAGCCGGGTGTGGTGGTTCGTACCTGTAGTCCTGGCTACTAGGAGGCTGCGATGGGAGGATTGCTTGAGGCTGGGATGTTGAGGCTGCAGTGAGCTGTGATTGCAACACTGCACTCCAGCCTGGGCAACAGAGTGAGACCCTGGCTCAAAAAAAAAAAGAAAAAGAAAAAAAACCCAAAGCTCACGAGTTTATATGGCTGATTCAAGGTCACAGGGCAAGGAGAGGGGACCTCCAGCCTGGATCTGTTTCTCCTCCGCCTCCTCCTGCCCCTCCCCGCCAGTGCCAGCGTCTCTCCACTCCCCTCCTTGGGGTAGGGTGAGGGGGAAGCCCCAGGAGAAGCCAGCTCCAAAGCATCGGAAAGTCAAATGCCGTTTGATTCTGGCCCCGGGGCCTCTAATTGCTATTCCTGACACAGACTGTAATTAGAAGGCCCCTTTCAAATATTTATACCCCAGACATCTAGTTTTATCCGGCAGGGAGACAACTCGGATTTGATGAGATCTGTCAACAGCTCATCCTGGTACCCTGGAATTGCCTTGCGGCTGACAGAAAGCAGGACAATTACCCGCTGTGCTCCCTGGCTGCCTCAAGGGGATGCAGCCTTGTCACTGATGATCACTGATAGGAAAGGGTGGGGTGGCAGTGAGGGTGGCCGGAAGCAGTTCAACAGGTTTGTGCTGGGGGACACAGTCAGTGCAGGGAAGGGAGGAGCAGAAGGGTCTAGATGCCTGCAGCCCTCAGGGGCTTTGCTTTCTTGGCTCCAGGCCTCAGTTTCCCCATCTGGAAAATGGAGCTCATGATGGAGAGAAGTTGCAGAGCTGATTCCATGAAGAGACACCAGGCCGGGCGCGGTGGTTCACGCTGTAATCCCAGCACTTTGGGAGGCCGAGGTGGGTGGATCACCTGAGGTCAGGAGTTAGAGACCAGCCTGGGCAATATGGTAAAACGCTGTCTCTACCAAAAATACAAAAATTAACGGGGTGTGGTGGTGGGTGCCTGTAACCCCAGCTACTCAGGAGGCTGAGGCAGGAGAATTGCTTGAATCTAGAAGGCGGAGTTTGCAGTGAGCGGAAATGGGGCCACTGCACTCCAGCCTGGCCGACAGAGCAGACTTTATCTCAAAAAAAAAAAGAGAGAGATGCCAGTTCCACCTAGGCCAGGCCCCATGGCAATGTGCAGGCAGAATGAGCTGTAGAGTGGCTCTGAACAAGTCCCTCCTGGCCCGATGCCTCAGTTTCCCCATCCATAAAATGAGGAAGCTGGGTGATAACTTGCTGTCTCCTGGGATCCTTCCTCGAGCTGTCAGGGTTTTTGTGGTAGAAACCACATCTTTCAAATAAGTAAGCCAACACTCAGCGAGTGACAGACCCTGCCCCCAGCCCCGCCAGCGTGCCAGGAGGCCCAGTCATAGCAGCGTTGGTTCTGACTTCTTTCTTGTCCCCCAACTGTCCCCTCCAAGCTATGACCCACGCCCAACCAGGGGGCTGGCCACAAGAGGAGAGAATCTGGGGTCCTATCCTTCCTGACCACCCCTCTCTCACTCCAGTCATTAGGGGGAACTGGGCAAGCCCCCTCATGGGGAAAGAAAGAAAAAGACGGTTCTGCCCTGGAAAATTGGCCAGTGGCCCCCTTTTCCTCTCCCACCCCCTAAATCTCTCACCCTCACCCTCAGACAACGGCAGCTGACAACAGGCGGCCAGGACAGGCCAGACCCCTCTCACTTCTGCCCCTCTTCCCGCCCCCACCCCCTCCCAGAAGGCCACAAAGGGACAGATGCCGAGGACAGGCTCCAGACACAGATACCATCTCCCTTCCCCAGGCCAGCTGCCCCAAACCCTCCCCCTGCCCGAGATTAGCCCCCTGGGGAGGTGGGGGACCGAGCGGAGCCCTCTTGGGGGAGGGGAAGCCCGATCCCCAACCTCCCTTCCTTTGCCCCCCTCCTCCTCCTGGCTGCATCAATATCAATTTCAGCCAGTGACCTCTCCACCAATTTCCACACCCCCACTCTCCCGGTCAGTTTCACCGCCAGACATCGGTTCCATTTCGACCCTCCGTGGTGGCCATTCCCACTCCCTCTGCTGGTCAGTTTCACCACCCCTTCTGGCGGTCAAGTCCAGTCCCCCATTTCCCGGTCAATGTTTCCCTCCCCTCCCTCACCCCTTCCCCTCCCTCCTTCTCCCCCTCCCCAGCTGTGTCCCTCCCAGCCCATCCCCACCTCCCGCGCTCCGCGCTCGCTGCGGCCAGTCTCGGACGTCCGGGTCAGTGTCCAGCTGCCGCGGCCTCGGCCCCGGAGACTCCCGCCCCCGGCCCTGCTACCCTCCGCGGGCAGCGGTTCCCTCCCTTCCCCGAACAGCTGAAGGTCTCTGTCACCTCTGAGGGGAGCGCAGGGGGAGGGGAGGGGCGGGGGACGCGGCCGAGGGGAGGCGGGGGAGCCTTGACGCTGCTGCCCGGGACGCGGCCCGGGGCTGGTGGGAACCGGGGCGTCCTCCCGCGCGCCCCCTCCCCAGCGTCCCACCTCCCGGCCGCGCGCCGGCGGCTGGGAAAGTCTCTCCGAAAGCGTGAAGGGGGATTGGAGGAGGTTTTTATTTCCCTTTGTGCGGGTGGCTGGGGCCGGATCGAGGCTGCCCGGCCGGGGGCCGCGGGATTGGGGCTCCCCGCTGAGCCGATAGGAGCGCGACAAAGGATGCGTCCCGCCGGGGTCACCGTCTCCGCGCCCCAACTTTGCGCGCAGCTCCCGCGCCCCTGGGGAGGCCGCCCGCTGCGCTAAGAACCCGGGCGTCCAGGCTGGGCGAGGGGCCGGGATCGTCCGCAGGCGGCGCTGGCCCTGTCTCCGGACCCCAGGAAGGGATCCCGGAGCTTCCCGGAGGCGGCGAGCGTCGGAGCCGCGCCGGGGAACCGCGCTGTCCGCGAAAACTCCGCGCGCCTCCGCGGATGCCCCTCGCCCTGGCCCCTAGCGCTCGGCGTTCAGGGCCCTGCGGGGCGCCCCTTTCCCCCGCGGTGCTTCCCCAGCCGGGCTAAGGTGGGCTTGTCCTCCTTCCTCCTCTGTCGCCTCCTTTTCCTCCCCCTCCTTCACCTTTTCCTTCCCTCCATCCATCCAGAGCCCCGCCAAAGGGCACACCTGACCTTTCTCCTCTCTCCCTGCTCTTCCTCTCCTCCTCCTCCTCCCTGGGGAAAGGGGCCCGGACAAGCGCATGTGGGGGCCCCTCTGACAGTGGCCGGATTGGGGGTGGCAGGCGCCCAAATGGCCAAGTGGCTACGGGACTACCTGAGCTTTGGCGGTCGGAGGCCCCCTCCGCAGCCGCCCACCCCGGACTACACCGAGAGCGACATCCTGAGGGCCTACCGGGAGCAGAAGAACCTGGACTTTGAGGATCCCTATGAGGACGCGGAGGGCCGCTTGGAGCCGGACCCAGCGGGCCCCGGGGACTCCAAGAACGCCGGAGATGCCAAGTATGGCTCTCCCAAGCACCGGCTCATCAAGGTGGAGACTGCGGATATGGCCAGAGCCAAGGCCCTTCTGGGCGGCCCCGGGGAGGAGGTGCGTGGCTGGGCGGCCCCGGGAGACTGGGTGGAGGGGAGGCTCAGACTGGGCCCACTGGATCGTGCAGAGCTTGTTTTATGTGTGATCACAGGGTGGACCCGGGCACCAGACAGGCGCTTCCCAGTCCTCCAGACTTCCACCTGCTTGGGGAGGTCTGTTCTTTTTTTTCCTTTTCTTTTTTTTGAGACACAGTCGAGTCTCCCTCTGTCGCCCAGGCTGAATGGAGTACAGTGGTGGGATCTCAGCTCATCACTGCAACCTCTGCCTCTCGGTTCAAACCAATTCTCCTACCTCAACCTCCCAAGTAGCTGGGATTACAGGCGCCTACCAGCCCTCCAGCTAAGTTTTGTATTTTCAGGAGAGATGGGATTTCACCATGTTGGCCAGGCTGGTCTGAAACTCCTGACCTCAGGTGATCCTCCCGCCTCGGCCTCCCAAAGTGGTGGAATTACAGACGTGAGCCACCGCACCTGGCCGATATCTGTCCCTTTTCAATGCATAATGCTGGCTTCCTCATATCTCTCTGACCACCCTGCTTGGTCTCAGGGTCCTCCTCCTCCATGGCCATCCTCTCGGCCCCTCCAGTCCCCTCCCTCAGCACCCCTTCCTCTTCAAACCTGGTGGGACCTTCCTAAAACAGATCTGAGTGAGTTGCTCCCCTCTTGGACACGTAAACATCTTCCCTAGGACTCTGCCCTTCCAACCACTATGTTCCCATTTTGCAGAAGTGGAAACTGAGGCTCACAGAAGAGCAGTTATTTCCCCAGAGTCTCACAGGTTTCTAGCTTACTAAGATTTGAAGGCAGGCCTCCAGGTGCAGTAGTTCATGCCTGTAATCCCAGAACTTTGGGAGGTGGAGGTGGGAGGATTGCTTGAGTCCAGGAGTTCAAGACCAGCCCGGGCTAACAGAGTGAGACCTTGACTCTCCAAAAAAAAATCAAAACATTAGCCAGTTGTGGTGGTGCACATCTGTAGTCCCAGCTACTCCGGAGGCTGAGGCAGGAGGATCACTTGAGCCCAGGAGGTCAAGGCTGCAGTGAGTCATGATTGAACCATTCCACTCCTGCCTGGGCAACAGAGCAAGACCTTGTCTCCATCCCCCCCTCCTAAAAAAAAGTCCAGACGTGGTGGCTCACACCTGTAATCCCAGCACTTTGGGAGGCCAAGGCAGGAGGATCACGAGGTCAGGAGTTCGATACCAGCCTGGCCAGTATAGTGAAACCCCATCTCTACAAAAATTAGCCAGGTGTGGTGGCACGTGCCTACAGTCCCAGCTACTCAGGAGGCTGAGGTAAGAGAATTGCTTGAACACAGAGGTGGAGGCGGCGGTGAGGCAGGACTGCCATACTGCACTCCAGCCTGGGTGACAGAGCGAGACTCCATCTCAAAAAAAACAAAAAACAAAACAAAAAAAACACCTCTTGGGCCAGTGTGGTGGCCGATGTCTGTGATCCCAGCACTTTGGGAGGCCAAGGCAGGTGGATCATTTAAGTTCATGAGTTCAAGACCAGCCTGGCAACATGGCAAAACCCCATCTCTACCAAAAATAAAAAAATTAGCCAGGTGCGGTGGCAGGTGCACTCCAGCCTGGGCAACGGAGCAAGACTCCATCTCTAAATAAATAAATAAAAATAAAAAGTCTTGGAGAGTTGTCAGATGGCCCTGTGGGCAGGCAAGAGTTGCAGCAACACTTAGTGGGGGTGCCCCTTTTGAGTCCTTGTCCCCTCCTCCTTCCTTCCCTCTGCAGCTGGAAGCTGACACGGAGTACTCAGACCCCTTTGATGCCCAGCCTCATCCTGCACCCCCAGATGATGGGTACATGGAGCCCTATGATGCCCAGCGGGTTATTAGTGGTGAGTAGGCAGGGCTTGGGGGAAGGTGGCAGGGTCCCAAATGGGAGCAGGAGCTGACCAGTGTCCCCGGCCTCCTAGAACTGCCCGGAAGAGGGGTGCAGCTCTATGACACCCCTTATGAGGAACAGGACCGAGAGACAGCGGAGGAGCCCCCTTCTGGGCAGAAGCCTCGGCAGAGCCGGATGCCCCAGGAGGACGAACGGCCAGCAGATGAGTATGACCAGCCCTGGGAGTGGAAGAAAGACCACATCTCCAGGGCGTTTGCAGGTGCTTCTCAGACCCACACCCGACATCTGAGTGCCCTGTCCCTGTATTTCCTCATCTGGTCATGTCTCCCGTTTCCATGTATTAAGTAGAGTCCAGTCACTTGCCACTTTGGTAGTTTGTTAATTCTCACTAGAGTGTGAGTGACTGATAGTCCTAAATTCTTTCTTCCAAGACAACTTGCATCTTCCTTGGAAAGGCAAACACTTTTTAGAGTGGAATAGAACCTACTTATCTTGCTCAGTGTGGTGCAGGGAGGGGAACGTGGTTTGCTTTTGGAATAGGGTGTGGGGGATGGTGGGGGTAGAATTTCTTTTCTTTTCCTTTCTTTTCTTTTCTGAGAGAGAGTCTCACTCTGCTGGTGTGCGGCGGCACGATCCCAGCTCCCTGCAACCTCCACCTTCCAGGTTCAAGTGATTCTCCTGCCTCAGCCTCCTGAGTAGCTGGGATCACAGGCTCCCGCCACCAAGCCTGACTAAATTTTGTATTTTTAGGAGAGACGGGGTTTCACCGTGTTGGCCAGGCTGGTCTCGAACTCCTGACCTCAGGTGATCCACCTGCCTCAGCCTCCCAAAGTGCTGGGATCACGCCCGGCCAGCATTTCTTAACAGTAAACCACAGGTCAGTTTCTAGCTGAATTGGATGAGCTTGGAAGAGCCTCTGAGCCTTAGTTTTCTCTTCTGTAAAAGGGATAATTATAAAATCAGCTTTAAAAAAATAACCTGATTTGGACCAGGAAGAGCTGTGCACACACGACTTTGCCCTCAAAGCTTTATGACTGGGAGGGTATTCGGAGCTCAGTGCCTTTGTCCCGCTATCTGTAGATTGGGGGTGATTTTCAGCCTCAGTCTAGACGGAACCCCAGAAGGGATTTAAGGACTAGATTTAGGCATTTAGTTCCCCCAGCTGGAAACTTCTAACTCACCCCTTCTAGCCACGCCCCTTGTGCCTCTTGCTACCAGATTTATGAATGACTACACCTGTTTCTTCTGAAGGCCAATAGGTTGCAGCTGTGGCCAATCCTGCCCCTACCTGAAGCCCAGCCCCTGGGCTCTGATAGGTTGCCCAATCTGGCCTCGCCTTCCTACTGAAATTCCATTGGCTGGCCCCTGCCCCGCCCTCCAAGGGAGGCTGGACTTAATTCTTTCCTCTCTATCCCTTGCAGTGCAGTTTGATAGTCCAGAGTGGGAAAGGACTCCAGGCCCAGCCAAGGAGCTCCGGAGACCCCCACCCAGAAGCCCCCAGCCTGCAGAGCGAGTGGACCCAGCCCTGCCCCTGGAGAAACAGCCGTGAGTGGGGAACTGAAGGTGGAAGAGCCCCGTTGAACGTGTCTGTAGACTCCAGTGTATCAGGCGGAAGTTTTTTCTTTTCTCCAGATTAGAGGAACTGAGGGAACTTGAGTTCATTCATCCGCTTATTTCATTTCTTCGACTAATCTTTACCGGGCCCCAGAGCCCGCTGTGTGCCAGACACCCAGTTCGACGCAAAACAGAATCAGATGGGGTCCCTTTCTCTCTGGGTTCAAATCCCTGCTCTTCCCTCCTGGTTATGTAGCCTTGGGCAAGTCACTTAACCTCTCTGAGCCTCAGGTTCAAACAGAAAGGGGAATTTCCTTCCTTAACTTGGGTGGGGCTTACAGCCTCAGAGCCGAGAGACAGAAATCATTCTCAGCCAGTTTTTAGGATGGAACTGGGAGGTGTAGGAGTTTGGAGGGCTCACAACTCTGTGCTGTGGGGTGGCACATGAGCTGGGAGACGCTGACTCTGTGTCCTTCCAGCCTGGGAGCTCCCTGAGGCAGTGCCCAAGTCCCCATAATCCAGGGGCTGGGTGTGGTGGCTCACACCTTGTAATCCCAGCACTTTGTTAGGCCGAGGCGGGCAGATCACCTGAGGTCAGGAGTTCAAAACCAGCTGGCCAACATGGAGAAACCCCATCTCTACTAAAAATACAAAAAAATTAGCTGGGTGTGGTGGCGTGCTCCTGTTAATCCCAGCTACTTGGGAGGCTGAGGCATGAGAATCACTTGAGCCTGGGTAGTAGAGGTTGCAGTGAGCCCAGATGGTACCACTGCACTCCAGCCTGAGTGACAGAGTAAGACTCCGTCTCAAAAAAAAAAAAAAAAGGACAGGTGGGTGAGATATAAGATGTGGCAGGCGCCTCTCGAAAAATCCGAGGGAATTTTCCTTCTTCATTTGCCCGGACGCTGCAAGCCCATGCATGAGCTGTGCATGGACGCAGCAGATCCCACAGTGTGTTTGTTTTGCTTTTTGCTTTTTTTTTGAGTTGGGAGTCTCACTCTGTCACCCAGGCTGGAGTGCGGTGGCACGATCGGCTCACTGCAATCTCCGCCTCCCTGGTACAAGCAATTCTCCTGCCTCGGCCTCCTGAGTAGCTGGGATTACAGGCGCGTGCCACCCTGCCCAGCTAATTTTTTTGTATTTTTAGTAGAGACGGAGTTTCACCATGTTGGCGAGACTGGCCTTGAAGTCCTGACCTCAGGCGATCCTCCCGCCTCTGCCTCCCAAAGTGCTGGGATTACAGGCGTGAGCCACCGTGTGTTTGAAGGGCAACAGCCTTTGATGAGATACCTGTTCGCACCGCTAGGTGGTTCCACGGCTCCCTGAACAGGGCGGATGCGGAGAATCTCTTGTCCCTCTGCAAGGAAGGCAGCTACCTAGTGCGGCTCAGTGAGACCAGCCCCCAGGACTGCTCCTTGTCTCTCAGGTGAGACCTCAGCCTCACAGGGACAAAGGGTCACTGGACTGCATGCATCACCCTTTTGGGTTAATTCAGAGGGATAGGGAGGGTGTGGCTCCAGCAGCCAATGGGAAGGGCTTCCAGGCCAGTGGGCGGGGCTTCTAGGAGCAGGGGTGGAGCTTCCAGGGAGGCCAGTAGCTGGTGAGAATGAGCTCCCCATCACTGGAGTTATACATGAAGAGAGTGGAGGCCATAGAGGAGGTCCAGAACTTGGGTAAGGTGAGCAATTAGGTGTACAAGCCTCCTTTGGACTCTTCTAGTCCAGAAATGGAGGTATATCAATTTGTGTCCATCTGAAACCAAAATTTCAGGGTGTGCCTGTGAGCATTTTAGGTTGAGACATAAAAATCCTATTTGTATGTACTTCCATCCCTAAAATTCTAAGTCTGTCTGATTATAAACCACTCCTAAGATTCTACTAGGTGTCTGAGGGCGAGATCTAAGAGCACAAGATAGGGTCGGAGCACAGTGGCTCCCACCTGTAATCCCAGCACTTTGGGAAACCAAGGTGGGTGGATCACTTCAGGTCAGGAGTTCGAGACCAGCCTGGCCAGCATGGTGAAACCCCTTCTCTCCTAAAAATACAAAAATTAGGCGTAGTGCATACCTGTAATCCCTGCTACTTTGGAGGCTGAGGCAGGAGAATTGCTTGAACCTGGGCAATGGAGGACTATAGGCACACCCCACTGCACCTGGCTCATCTTTGTATCTTTTTTTTTTTTTGAGACGGAGTTTTGCTCTTGTTACCAGGCTGGAGTGCAATGGCGCGATCTCGGCTCACCGCAACCACCTCCGCCTCCTGGGTTCAGGCAATTCTCCTGCCTCAGCCTCCGGAGTAGCTGGGGCTACAGGTGCACGCCACCATGCCCAGCTAATTTTTTGTATTTTTAGTAGAGACGGAGTTTCACCTTGTTGACCAAGATGGTCTCGATCTCTTGACCTCATGATCCACCCACCTCAGCCTCCCAAAGTGCTGGGATTACAGGCATGAGCCACCGCGCCCGGCCCTCATCTTTGTATCTTTAGTAGAGACAGGGTTTTTCCATGTTGGCCAGGCTGGTCTCAAACTCTTGGTTTCAAGAGATGCGCCTGACTCAGCCTCCCAAAGCGCTGGGATTACAGGTAGGCATGGGTCACCACACCTCGCCTATTATTACTTCTTTTTTTTTTTGAAACAGAATCTCGCTCTGTCACCCAGGTGGGGTTCAGTGGCACAATATCGGCTCACTGCAGCCTTTGCCTCCCAGGTTCAAGAGATTCTCATGTCTCAGCCTCCCAAGTACCTGGGACTGCAGATGCCTACCATGCCCAGCTAATTTTTGTATTGTTAGTGGGGACAGGGTTTCACCATGTTGGCCAGGCTGGTCTTGAACTCCTAACCTCAGGTGATCCACATTCCTCAGCCTCCCAAGGTGTTGGGATTATAGGCGTGAGCCCTGGCCCCTGGCTTTATTTTTATTTTATAAGATGGGGTCACCTAGGCTCGCATGCAGTGGCACAATTATGGCTCACGACAGCCTCCACCTCCCAGGCTCAAGCAGTCTTCCTACCTCCGCCTCAGAAGTAGCTGGATTACAGGCGAGTACCACCATACCTGGCTATTTTTGCATTTTTTTTTTTTTTTTTTTTTGAGACTGAGTTTCGCTCTTGTTACCCAGCCTGGAGTGCAATGGCACGATCTCGGCTCACCGCAAACTCTGCCTCCTGGGTTCAAGCAATTCTCCTGCCTCAGCCTCCCGAGTAGCTGGGACTACAGGCGTGCACCACCATGCCCAGCTAATTTATGTGTTTTTAGTAGAGACGGGGTTTCACCTTGTTGACCAGGATGGTCTCGATCTCGTGACCTTGTGATCCACCCACCTTGGCCTCCCAAAGTGCTGGGATTATAGGCATGAGCCACCAGGCCCAGCTTATTTTTGCATTTTATGTAGAGACAGCATTCTTCTATATAGTCCATGCTGGTCTCAATCTCCTAGGCTCAAGCAGTTTATCCATCTCGGCTTCCCAAAGTGCTGGGATTACAGGTGTGAGCCACCGCACGTGCCTAACTTTTGAATGTTTTCCTGTGGAGACGGAGTCTCACTCTGTTGCCCAGGCTGGTCTCGAACTTCTGGCCTGGAGCAATCCTACAGCCTCAGCCTCCCAAATCACTGGGATTACAGGTGTGAGCAACTACACCAGCCACCACATTACTGGATTTTGGGGACACAGAAGCACCAGGCCCTGGGCACTGTGGGAGGTGGATTTGGGGATAGTGGCTTTCTGGATGGGTCTGGGGTACTCAGGAGGCCCTTTTTCCCTCATCCCCCAGGAGCAGCCAGGGGTTCCTGCATCTGAAGTTCTCACGGACCCGAGAGAACCAGGTGGTGCTGGGCCAACACAGCGGGCCCTTCCCCAGCGTGCCTGAGCTGGTCCTCCACTACAGTTCCCGCCCCCTGCCAGTACAGGGAGCCGGACATCTGGCTCTGCTGTACCCCGTGGTCACACAGACCCCCTGACAGTGACCCTCAGCCCCCTTTTGAGTCCTCGGACCCAGAATTGTATCCGAAAGCCCTCCTCTGGCCTAGAAAATAAATAAGTTATTGTTTGTCTTAGCGTCCTTTCTGGGCTGCAGAGGGAAGGGGGATCGCTGACTCCCAGCGGGAAAGCCCTGAGGGTCCTGGAGAGGGGGAGGATGGGGTAACTGAAACGCTGGAGAAGGCCAGGCACGGCAGTTTATGCCTGTAATCCCAGCACTTTGGGAGGCTGAGTCGGGTGGATCACTTGAGGTCTGGAGTTTGACACCAGCCTGACAAACATGGGGAAACCCCATATCTACTAAAAATACAAAATTAGGTGTGCATAGTGGTGCGGGCCTGTCATCCCAGCTACTCCAGAGGTTGAGGCAGGAGACTCGGTTGAACCCAGGAGGTGTAGGTTGCAGTGAGCCGAGATGGTACCATTGCGCTCCAGCCTCGGCGACAAGAGCAAAACTTCCTGTCAAAAAAAAAATAGGCCAGGCTGGGTGGCTCTGTAATCCCAGCACTTTGGGAGGCCAAGGCAGGCGAATTGCCTATGCTCAGGAGTTCGAGACCAGCCTGGGCACCACGGTGAAACCCTGTCTCTACTAAAATACAAAAAGTTAGCCAGGTGTGGTGGCAGGCGCCTGTTGTCCCAGCTTCTCGGGAGGCTGAGGCAGGAGAATCGCTTGAACCTGGGAGGCAGAGGTTGTAATGCACCGAGATTGCGCCACTGCACTCCAGCCTTGGGGACAGAGCAAGTCATCGTCTCAAAAAAAAAAAAAAAAGCAGGAAACTCTCAGGCCCAGCGTGGTGGCTCACGCCTGTAATCCCAGCACTTCGGGAGGCCGGGGCAGGTGGATCACAAGGTCAGATCAGCCTGACCAACATGGAGAAACCCTGTCTCTAAAAAAAAAATTTAATTAATTAAAATGAAAAAGAAAGAAACCCTCTGGGGCCAAGGACATTCTTTGTTTTAGGGACAGAGTTGGGGTTGGAGCCTGAATCTCCCATAGGGAGGGACCAGAACACAGAGAGCAAGAGACAGAGCGGGATAGGGCAGTTAAAAACCACCTGCTGTAGAAACCAGCAGATTCAAAGATGGAGAAGCTAAGGGGGGCCAGGCTCTCGGACCAGTCCCGCTCCCTCCTCTTGATCTGCAGAAAGGACATCTGTCCCCATGGAAACAGCAGAAGCAGGGGAGGGGAGCCGGGCCTAGCTGGTGTCACTTCAAGGTGACAGTTGGGCAGGAGACTCCAGGGGACTAGTAAACACTGGGAAGACCCTGACCTCCCGCCTCCTCCCCCACCTCCAGGCCTGCCTGGGGGCGATGCCAGCTGCGTAGAGGGTCTTTCCGGACAGGGGCTGAATGGAAACCAGAGCACCGCTCACTTTGTGCTCCTTGGATTTGTCCCTAGAGGTATAAGGTGGGAGGGGGGTTTTGAGTTGTCACAAAGTCCCTGGACCACAGTGGGCCTCTCCAGCCACCCTTGGGAGCTCTGGGACCCCCAGATGACCCCTTAAATCTTTTTTTCTGAGACAGAGCGTCTCTCTGTCACTCAGGCTGGAGTGCGATGGTACAATCTTGGCTCACGGCAACCTCCGCTTCCCGGATTCAAGTGATTCTCCTGCCTCTGCCTCCCAAGTAGCTGGGATTACAGGCATGCACCACCGTGCCCGGCTAAATTTTTTTGTATTTTCAGTAGAGACAGTTTCACCACGTTGGCCAGGATGGTCTCGATCTCCTGACCTTGTGACCCACCCTCCTCGGCCTCCCGAAGTGCTGGGATTACTGGCGTGAGCCACCGCGCCCGGAACTCTTAAATCTTTTTGACATGTATTTGTGTGACAGGGTCTCACTCTATCACCCAGGCTGGAGCGTAGTGACGTAATTATATCTCACTACAGCCTCAAACTCCCGGGCTCAAACTCTCCTCCCGCCTGAGCCTCCCAAATAGCTGAGACAACATGCATCAGCGGCACCATCATGCCCAGCTAAATTTTGTATTTTTAGTAGAGACAGGGTTTCACCGTGTTGCCCAGGCTGGCCTTGAACTCTTGACCTCAGGTAATCTGCCCCCCTTGGCCTCCCAAAGTGCTGGGATTACAGACGTGAGCCACTGCGCCTGGCCTTATTTTTACATTTTCTGTAAAGATGGAGTCTTCTTGATCTATTGCCCAGGCTGGTCTCGAACTCCTGGCCTCAAGTGATCCTCCCACCTCAGCCTCCCAAAGTGATGGGATTATAGGCATGAGCCACCTCACCTAATTCCCTCAGATCTCTTTAGCACTCCCAAATCGCCACAAACGCCAGCTTTGCTTTTTCTTCATAAGCCTTTATCAAGTTGTCTTGGGGGAAACGTGGGGGAGATCCATCGTCACAGAAATGAGAACAGGGTCTCAGGATGGGGCTGCCAGACTCCCAATCCTTCCCTGTCTTCTTTTTATTTTATTTTATTTTATTTTTTTGAGACGGAGTTTCGCTCTTGTTACCCAGGCTGGAGTGCAATGGCGCCATCTCGGCTCACTGCAACCTCCGCCTCCTGGGTTCAGGCAATTCTCCTGCCTCAGCCTCCTGAGTAGCTGGGATTACAGGCACGCGCCACCGGTGCCCAGCTAATTTTTTGTATTTTTAGTAGAGACGGGGTTTCACCATGTTGACCAGGATGGTCTCGATCTCTTGACCTCGTGATCCACCGGCCTCGGCCTCCCAAAGTGCTGAGATTACAGGCTTGAGCCACTGTGCCCGGCCACTTTTTATTAAAAAAAATTTTTTTTTGAGATGAAGTCTCACTCGGTAGCCCAGTGCAGTGGTGCAATCTCAGCTCACTATGACCTCCAGGTTCAAGCCAGGCTAGTCTTGAACCCCTGACCTCAAGTGATCCACCAGCCTCGGCTTCCCAAAGTGTTGAGATTACAGGTGTGAGCCACCATGCCCAGCCTCAATGCCGTCTTTTCTGTGTGTACCTATGGGTGGGGCCTGGGCTAAGAGAGACTCTGACCTTAGAGATGGGGTGGCCGGGCCTGGGGCCGGGGCAAGGTCTGGGCGCCAGGGGGCGCTGGCAGGTGACCTGCTCCAGGAATGAGGTTGAATAAATGCTCTGGCCTCTGGTCCTTCCTGTCTCCAGATGAGTCCTCACTCTTCTTTGGGGTCCCCCGGGGCCGGTATAGGACGTTGCTGTAGAATGCATTTCCTAGGATAGATGACAGAGACCAAGAGGGGACACTCGCTTAAGAGAGCCTGGCCCTCTCCGGCTGACCTCTGGGGACTCTGTCTCTCTCTCTCTTCTTTAAAAAAAATTTTAAACTTTTTTTTTTTTTCCTGAGATGGAGTCTCCGTCTGTAGCCCAGGCTGGAGTGCAATGGCGTGATCTCAGCTCACTGCAACCTCCACCTCCCGGGTTGAAGTGATTCTCCTACCCCAGCCTCCTCAGTAGCTGGGACTACAGGCTCACGCCACCACGCCCCACTTATTTTTATCTTTTATTTTTTGTATCTTTAGTAGAGACGGGGTTTCACCATGTTGGTCATGGTGTAACTGGGATTACAGGCCTGAGCCACCGCACCTGGCCTTATTTTTAAATTTTCTGTAGAGATGGAGTCTTCCTGCTCCATCTTGAACTCCTGACCTCATGACTCGCCTGCCTCAGCCTCCCAAAGTGTTGGGATTACAGGCATGAGCCACCTCATCCAGCTTTTTTTTTTTTTTTTTTTTTTTTTGAGATCGGGTCTCTCTCTCTCACCCAGGCTGGAGTGCACTCTCTGTCACCTGGTTTGGAGTGCAGTGGGGAAACAGTAGCTTATTGCAGCCTCGGCCTCCTGGGTTCAAGCAATCCTCCCACCTCAGCCTCCCGAGTAGCTGGGACCACAGGCGTGTGCCACCCAGCCTGGCTAATTTTGTTGCTGTTGAGATGGAGTTTCACTGTGTCACCCAGGCTGGAGTGCAGTGAGGCAGTCTCGGCTCACTGCAATCTCCACCTCCCCAGTTCCAGTGATTCTCCTGCCTCAATATCCCAAGCAGCTGAGACTACAGGCACAGGACACCACGCCTGGCTAATTTTTGTATTTTCAGTAGAGACTGGGTTTTACCATGTTACCCAGGCTGATCTCGAACTCGTGACCTCAAATAATCCCCTGCCTCGGACCCCAGAGAGCCGGGATTACAGGCGTGAGCCACCGTGCACAGCCTAATTTTTAATTTTTTGTAGAGATGGGATCTTGCTAGGTTGTCCAAGCTAAGAGCTTTGTCTTTGGGCCAGGCACAGTGGCTCACGCCTGTAATCCAAGCACTTTGGAGGCCGAGGTGGGCAGATCATCTGAGGTCGGGAGTTCAAGACCAGCCTGACCAACATGGTGAAACCCCATCTTTAAAAAAAAACAACTTTGTCTCTATTTCCAAAAAATATGGGTATCAGATATGGGCGCCAGGCTTCCCCACCTTTATCCCACCTCCCTCCTTCTCCCAAACCAAAGCGGGAGCAGGGATGCAGTGGGTCTTTGGCAAGCAGGGGCTGTTCCCGCCTCCTCCGCCCACCCCATCTTACCTGGGCTGTTACCTGAGTCCCTTTGCTGGCAGCGGCGGCGGCCCCAGAACCAGGCACCTAGCACCATTGCGGCCACACCCATACTCCCCACCCCCAGCAGCACGAAGAGGAGTCCTGAGTAGGGGGAGGAGGGATGGTCTAAGAGGGAGGGTGGGGGCGGTGAGAGGGGAGGAAGAGCTGGGGGAGGAACACTGGGCAGGGCTCACCTCGGAAGCTTGGGGTCAGATTTCTGTTCTGTGGAGGGTCATCTGCAGAGAGGAAATCTATGTCATGGGAGGGCTCCAGGCTCCTGCACCCTCCAAGGACAGAGCTCACAAAGGGGGACTTCAGTGTTCCTCCTCCTGCCAGGCTTTGTGGTTTTGGGCAGGTGTTCTCTCTGAACCTCAGTTTCCTCTTCTGAAAAATGAGGCTCGGCAGAGCACAGTGACTCATGCCTATAATCCAAGCACTTTGGGAGGCCAAGGCAGGAGGATCACTTGAGGTCAGGAGTTCGAGACCAGCCTGGGCAACATGGTGAAACCCTGTCTCTACTAAAAAGATAAACACTAGGCCGGGCGCGGTGGTGTGCACCTGTAGTCCCAGCTACTCAGGAGGCCGAGGCAAGAGAATCGCTGGAGTCCAGGAGGCAGAGGCGGCAGTGAGCTGAGATTGTGCCACTGCACTCCAGCCTGGGTGACAGGCAAGACACTGTCTCAAAAAAGAGGAAGAAAAATGAGGCTCGGCCGGGCATGGTGGCTCACGCCTGTAATCCTAGCACTCTGGGAGGCCGAGGTGGGTGGATCACCTGAGGTCAGGAGTTCAAGACCAGCCTGGCCGTCATGGTGAATCCCCATCTTTAAAAAAAAAAAAAAAGAAGAAGAAAAATGAGGCTGGTGGTCCCTGTCTGAGTGGGTCATTGTGGAAAAACTGCCAGCTGGGACTTGTCATCGTGAGCTCCGCCATCTTTGTCCTGGGCTCCTGTTTGTTTCTGTTTTTGTTTGAGAGTGGACTCCAAGCCATGCCCATTCTACAGATGGGGAAACCGAGGCTCAGAAAGCCTGAGTCTCTTGTCGAGGGTCCCCTACCCAGGAGGCAGCCAAGACCCGAGCCCTTTCTTTTTTTTTTTTTTTTTTTTTTTTTTGAGTCAAGAGTTTCACTCTTTTTGCCCAGGCTGGAGTGCAGTGGCTCGATCTGGGCTCACCGCAGCCTCCGCCTCCCTGGTTCAAGCAATTCTCCTGCCTCAGCCTCCTGAGGAGCTGGGATTGCAGGCGCGCGCCACCACATCCAGCTATGAATGAAGCCCTTTCTCACCTCAGCTCAGAGAAGGTCACACTTAGGTTAGCTGAGCACTTACTATGTCCAGGCCCTGTGCTAAGCACAGTTTAGTCGTGTGTTTTTCTGGAGACAGGGTCTCCCTGTGCCTCCCAGGCTGGAGTGCAGTGGCACGATCATGGCTCACGGCAGTCAGCAAATCCTGGCCTCGAGCGACCCTCCCACCTCAGCCTCTTGAGCAGCTGGGACTATGGGTGCGTGCCACCATGCCTGGCTAATTTGAGAATTTTTTTTGTAGAGATGGGGTCTTGCTGTGTTGGCCAAGCTGGCCCCAAACTCCTGGCCTTAAGCAGTCCTCCTGCCTCGGCCTCCCAAAGTGCTGGGATATCAGGCGTGAGCCACTGCACTTGGATTATAGTACTTTAGCTATAACCCCTCTAAAGTCACCCAACCTGATGAGGAAACACTATTCACTGTGTTCTGACACCAGCGGGAACTGGCACAGAGAGGTCAAGTCACTTCCTCAAGGTCACACAGCAAGTAATTGAAACAGGCTTGAATCCAGGTTTGTATAATCTATAGGAACCCCAGCCAAAGGCTGTGAATGCCCCAATTAAGATAAGGTCCAGCACCCCAACCCCTTCCTCTTGCAGCCTCTGAGGTTGGCAGGCAATCCCTGGGGACTGCCAAGCTGCTGCTCAGGGTTGGAGTGGGTGGGGAAGCCAGCTGTGTGGGGCTGGCCCAGCGCCCACTCCCGGCTCTCTCTCGCAGCTGCCAACACACAGCCTGGCCCCTCCACCACCCCGCCCCCTCTAATTGCTAATTGGCCCCTTTGACATTGGAGGGGTGGGGGGAGGTGGGTAAGGCAGCCATAACACACCCCTCCCTTGAGGCAGAGCACGTGTCCCCGCCAGCAGGCTGGTTCTACCAGCTGGAGAGAAACAGGCATCTCTAGGGGATGGGAGCTGGAAGCTGGGCAGTTGCCCAGGGCCCACAGGCACCCAGCACAGAGCAGAAGGCAAAGCCTGGATCCCCTTGGGTTTCCTGATTCTGCCCAGGGTGAGTCTGTAAGGGGGTGACATGGCAAAGCAGGGTGCATAGGCCGCACCCCGGCCTAGTGGATAGCACTGGACATGTCTTGATCCTCTCTGGCCATACCTGTCTCATCTGTAAAATGAGGGAGCTGCGTTTGCTGATATGGAAAGCTATCTGGAGAGTTTCTTCAAACTTTGAGAGTCCGTGGCTTCTTTTTGAAAGGAGTCTCGCTCTGTGGCCCAGGCTGGAGCGCAGTGCTGCGATCTCAGCTCACTGCAGCCTCCGCCTCCTGGGTTCAAGCGACTCTCCTGCCTCACCTTCCTGAGTAACTGGGATTACAGGCGTGCACCATCACACCCGGCTAATTTTTGTGTTTTTATTGGGGGTGGAGGTTTCATCATGTTGGCGAGGCTGGTCTCAAACCCCTGACCTCAGGTGATCCACCCACCTTGACCTTCCAAAGTGCTGGGATTACAGGCATGAGCTACCGCACCCAGCCGATGGCTTTATTTTATTTAGAGACAGGATCTTGCTCTGTTGTCCAGGCTGGAGTGCCATGCTGTGCTCATAGCTCACTGCAGCCTCCAACGCCTGGGCTCAAGTGATCCTCTCATCTTAGCCTCCCAAAGTGCTAGGATTACAAGCATCAGCCACCCTGCCTGGCTGATGACTTTCAATTCTGGATTCTAGAATTCTAGGATTCTGTTTGTTTGTGTATTGGAGACAGAGTCTCACTCTGCTGCCAGGCTGGAGTACAGTGGCAGGATCTTGGCTGCCTGCCGCCTCAGCCTCCCAGGTTCAGGTGATTCTCCTGCCTCAGCCTCCCAAAAGGATTCTGTTTTTACACAGTCTAAATTTTTACAAAATTCTGGCTGGGCACGGTGGCTCACGCCTGTAATCGCAGCACTTTGGGAGGCCAAGGCAGGTGGATCACCTGAGGTCAGGAGTTCGAGACCAGCCTGGCCAACATGGTAAAACCCCATCTCTACTAGAAGTACAGAAAAATTAGCCGGGCATAGTGGCCGCACCTGTAATCCCAGCTACTCGAGGAGGCAGAGGTTGTAGTGAGCCCAGATCATGCCATTGCACTCCAGCCTGGATGACAACAGTGAAACTCCGTCTAAAAAAAGTTCAATATGAAGAATTCAGAGTTTTTTTGTTTCTAGGACCTTGAGATTCAAGTCTTTAGGTTCTAGGATCTGGCCTGGTGCAGCGGCTCACGCCTGTAATCCCAGCACCTTGGGAGGCTAAGGCAGGTGGATCACCTGAGGTCAGGAGTTCGAGACCAGCCTAACCAACATGGCGAAACCCCGTCTCTACTAAAATACAAAAAATTAGCTGGGCGTAGTGGTGGACACCTGTAATCCAGCTACTCACGAGGCTAAGGCAGGAGAATTGCTTGAGCCTGGGAGGCAGGGGTTGCAGTGAGCAGAGATCGTGCCACTGCACTCCAGTCTCGGCAACCGAGCAAGACTCCGTCTCAAAAACAAAGTTAGCCAGGCAAGGTGGTGGGCACCTGTAATCCCAGCTACTCAGGAGGCTGAGGCAGGAGAATCTCTCGTACCTGGGAGGTGGAGGTTGCTGTGAGCCAAGATAGTACCACTGCACTGCAACGCCTGGATGACGGAGCAAGACTGTCTCAAAAAAAAAAAAAAAGTTTGATAGGAAGAATTTAGTTTTTTGATTCTAGGAGTTTGAAATTCAAAAGTCTAGATCTTGAGATTCTAGAATCTGGCAGGGCACAGCAGCTCACGCCTGTAATCCCAGCACTTTGGGAGGCCTAGGCGGGTGGATCACGAGGTCAGGAGACTGAGACCTTCTTGGCTAACACAGCGAAACCTCTTCTGTACTAACAAAATACAAAAAATTAGCCGGGCATGGTGGCGCGTGCCTGTAATCCCAGCTACTTGGGAGGCTGAGGCAGGGGAATCACTTGAACCCAGGAGGCGGAGGTTGCAGTGAACAGAGATTGTGCCACGGCCCTCCAGCCTGGGCAACAGAGTGAGACTTCGTCTCAAAAACAAAAACAAAAAGATTCTAGGCTACTCCCCAGTGCCCCACCCTCTCTCCGCTGGTTCCAATACCTGGGTCCACCGAGAGCCATGTTCCATTGCCTTCAGCCTTCTCCAAGTCAGGAATCTCTATGATCACCTTGCACACGTAGGTTCCGCTGTGGCTGAGGCTCACAGGGTCCAGCCGCAGGGTGACGTGGCTGGGCGCCTGCCAGGAGAGGCGTCCCTGGGGCCCACAGAGCCCCTGGCTGAGGCGGCCATTGGTGATGTACGGCTGGCACGTGACATTCCCATCCTTGGTCCACACAACACGGAGTCGTTCCCAGGCCGGTGCCTGGTCCACGTGGCAGTCCAGGGTCGCCTGACTGCCCTGCCTCACCCGCAGCCGCTGGGGCCCCTGCTGCACGCTCAGGCTTGAGGCTCCTTGCAGGGCTGGGGACAGAAGAGATGGAGTTGACCTTTCTCAGTGTGTGCGTGTGAGGCTGTGTGACTCACTCCCTGAGGGAGCCCACAGTCTGGGTTTGAAATCCCACTTGTCGGCCGGGCATGGTGGCTCCCGCCTGTAATCCCAGTAGTTTGGGAAGCTGAGGTGGGTGGATCACCTGAGGTCAGGAGTTTGAGACCAGCCTGGTCAACATGGTGAAACCCTGTCTCTACTAAAAATACAAAAATTAGCTGGCCGTGATGGCACACGCCTGTAATCCTAGCTACTCAGGAGGCTGACGCAGGAGAATCACTTGAACCTGGGAGGTGGACGTTGCAGTGAGCTGAGATCGCGCCACTGTACTCCAGCCTGGGAGAGAGAGTGAGACTTGGTCTTAAAAACAAACAAGGCCGGGCGCGGGGGCTCAAACCTGTAATCCCAGCACTTTGGGAGCCGAGGCGGGCGGATCACGAGGTCAAGAGATCGAGACTATCCTGGCCAACATGGTGAAACCCCGCCTCTACTAAAAATACAAAAATTAGTTGGGCATGGTGGTGGGTGCCTGTAATCCCAGCTTGGGAGGCTGAGGCAGGAGAATCGTTTGAACCCAGGAGTCAGAAGTTGCAGTGAGCCAAGATCGTGCCACTGCACTCCAGCCTGGGTGACAGAGAAAGAATTCATCTCAAAAAAAAAAAAAAAAACACACACACACACACAAAAATACAAAAATTAACTGGTCATGGTGGCACGTGCCTGTAATCCCAGCTACTTGGGAGGCTGAGGCAGGAGAATTGCTTGAATTGGGACCCATGAGGCGGAGGCTGCTGTGAGCCGAGATCACGCCACTGCACTCCTGTTCCTTCCCCAATTATAGTTCTCTTTTAATGTCTTCCTGTGTCTCTCTTGGCCCAGACTGTCAGCTTCTGACGCTGTCAGCTTCCAGCCTGGGCTGGAGTCAAAAAAAAAAAAAAAAAGAAAAAGTAGCTGCACGTGGTGGACTGAAGTGAGGCGGTCACTTGAGCCCAGGAGTTTGAGGCGGTGAGCTATGTCCGCACCACTGCACTCCAGCCTGGGTAACAGAGCAACACCCTGTCTCTAAAAATTAAACATAAGAAACCCTGAAGAACCTCACTGTCTCTATGACCTTCAGAAGGTCACATCTTGCAGAGGCTCAACAGCCCCATCTGTAAAATGGGTTTAAGTCGCTCAGAGCTTGTGGAATTCTGAGATTGTCTGCAGTACTCAGCTACACAAAGATTGCCTAGCGTGCACCAGGCCCTCTGCTGAGTGTGGGGGACAAAGACGCGGGGGGACCAAAACAGACGCAAATCCCTGCCCTTCAGAAGCTGACAGTCTGGGCCAAGAGAGACACAGGAAGACATTAAAAGAGAACTATAATTGGGGAAGGAACAGGAGTGGTCAAGAAGACATCAGTGAGGTCAATGGACATCTCCTTATTGAGAGTAATCAGGGAAGACCTCCCTGCAGTGGTGACTCTTTTTTTTTTTAGAGTTGGGGTCTGGCTGTGTAGTCTAGACCGGAGTGTAGTGGCACCATCGTAGCTCATGGCAGCCTCGAACTCATGGGCTCAAGTGATCCTCCTGCCTCAGCCTCCTAAGTAGCTGGGACTATGGGCATACACCACTATGCCTGGCCTTTTTTTTTTTTTTTTTTGGGAGAGGTTGGGGTCTTCCTTTGTTGCCCAGGCTGGTGTTGAACTCCTGGCCTCAAGTGATTCTCCCACCTATGCCTCCCAAGGTGCTGGGATTATATATGTGAGCCGGGATCGGCGTGTTTTTGTTTATGTGTTTTTTTAGACCATGCCACTGCACTCTAGCATGGGCAACAGAGCGAGACTCCATATTTTTTTTTTTTAAGTCTCCATCTCACTCTGTTGCCCAGTCTGGAGTACAGGGCACCATCATAGCTCACTGCAGCCTCAGCCTCCTGGGCTCCTGGGCTGGGTACAGCCGCTCACACTTGTAATCCCAGCACTTTGGGAAGGCAAGGCGGGTAAATCACTTGGGCTCAGGAGTTCAAGACCAGCCTGGCCATAATGTTGAAACCCTATCTCTACTAAAAATACGAAAATTATCCTGGCGGCCAGGTGCAGTGACTCATGCCTGTAATCCCAGCACTTTCGGAGGCCAAGGCAGGCAGATCACCTGAGGTTGGGAGTTCGAGACCAGCCTGACCAACGTGAAGAAACCTCATCACGACTAAATATATAACATTAGCTGGTCATTGTGACACATGCCTGTAATCTCAGCTATTCAGGAGGCTGAGTCAGGAGAATCCTTTGGACCCAGGAGGCGGAGGTTTGGATGAGCCAAGATCATGCCATTGCACTCCAACCTGGGCAACAGAAATGCAATTCTGCCTTAAAAAAAAAAAAAAAAAAAAAAAAAAAAATATATATATATATATATATATATATATATATATATATATATATACATAATCTCCTGGCATGGTGGCAGGCACCTGTAGTCCCAGCTACTCGGAAGGCTGAGGCAGGAGAGTCACTTGAACCCGGAAGGTGGACGTTGCAGTGAGCTGAGATCGCACCACTGCACTCCAGCCTGGGCGACAGAGCTCAATTCTGTTTCAAAAACCAAACCAAACACTTCTGGCCTCATGTGATCCTCCCACCTCAGCCTCCCAAATTGCTGGGATTATAAGCACGTGCCACTGTGCCCAGCCTGAGCCGAGATCTTAATCAAAAGGGGTACCCATTGTTGAAGGAAGGTATTGGGGGGTAAGTGCTTTCCAGGCAGAGGGCACAGCCCGTGCAAAGGTCCTGGGGCAGGACTGTGTCTGGTGTGTTTGAGGACCAGCCAGGAGGCCCGAGCAGCTGGAGCAGAGTGAGGAGGGGAAGAAAGGAAGGAGAGCAGGAAGACAGGTTGGTCACCATCCTGTAGCCTTGGGGTGGTGTGGGGAGGCGGGGGAAGTTAAGGTTTGTCTTTGAATCTAAGTGTGATGGGAAATCAGGAAGCAGGGAAGACATAGACCAATTTGAGTTTTTGGGGTTTTTTTGAGACAGAGTCTTACTCCGTCACCCAGGTGGGAGTGCAGTGGTGTGATCTCAGCTCACTGCAACCTCCGCCTCCCAGGTTCAAACAATTCTTGTGGCTCAGCCTCCTGAGTAGCTGGGATTACAGGCACCCACCCACCACGCCCGGCTAATTTTTGTATTTTCAGTAGAGACGGGGTTTGACCATAATGGCCAGGTTGGTCTGGAACTCCTGACCCCAAGCGATCCACCTGCCTCAGCCTCCAATTTATGTTGTAATGGAAAGATCTTGGTCAGACATGGTGGCTCACTCCTATAATCTCAGCACTTTGGGAGGCCAAGGCAGGCAGATCATGAGGTCAGATCAAAACCATCCTGGCTAAAATGGTAAAACCCCATCTCTACTAAAAAAAAATATGTATATACAAAAAAATTAGCCGGACGTGGTGGCACGCGCCTGTAGTCCTAGCTATTCGGGAGGCTGAGGCAGGAGAATTGCTTGAATCCAGGAGGCGGAGGTTGCAGTGAGCTGAGATCGCGCCATTGCACTCCAGCCTGGGCAACAGAGTGAGACTCCATCTCAAAAAAAAAAAAAAAAAAAGAAGATCTTGGTTGGGTATGGTGACTCACGCCTGTTATCCCAGCACTTCAGGAAGTCAAGACTGGATGATTGCTTGAGGCCAGGAGTTCAAGACCAGCCTGGGCAACATAGTGAGACCCATCTCTAAAAAACAAAAATAAATGAACAACAACAAAAAAAGTGCACGCAGCTGGAGCCGGAGGAGAGGGAAGGAGGAATGGAGGTTTTCGCCTGAGGACGTGTGTGAAGGGCAGTAGCCTTTGTCCTTTTTTTTTTCTTTCAGAGGGAGTCACACTCTGCCTCCAAGTTCAAGCAGTTCTCCTGCCTCAGCCTCCTGAGTAGCTGCGATTAGGTGCCCACCACCACGCCTGGCTAATTTTTGTATTTTTTGTGGAGACGGGGTTTCACCATGTTGGTCAGGATGGTCTTGAACTCCTGACCTTGAGACCTGCCTGCCTTGGCCTCCTAAAGTGCTGGAATTACAGGCGTGAGCCACCGCGCCCAGCCAGCCTTTGTCCTTAATTGTAAACAGAGGGAGGTGCCGCTAGAGTGGAAAGTTTGCTTTTGGCCGAGAGGAGTCTGACGCGTCTGTTAGACCCCCACAGAAGGTGAGGTTATGTCAAGTTCCTGGCATCTGAGACGCAATTGCGGACGAGGATGGAGACATGAGATCCAGGAAGGGTATCAGGCAGCTGGAACAGCAGCTGCAAAGGCCTGAAGGTTGGATCCAGGCTTCCCATTGAGGAAACAGAGAAAGGTCCCCAGGCTTGCGCGAAGGGAGGGAGCTAAAGCCTTGCAGAGGGTGGAGAGCTGAGAGGCCAGGCCAGGCTGGTATGCAGGGCAAGTTTCAACCTGCCTCCTAGGGGCCTCCTCAGAGGGTGCTTTCTTAACCCTCCAGACCCGGCAGTGTTCTGAGACACCCTCAGAGGGAGGTGACCTTATCTGGCAAAGAGGAGACACTGAAGTTTAGGGGGCTCTGAGCTGGGGGGCAGTCAGCTGGGGATGACAGCAAGAGGGGGGTGTGGAGGGGAGGGAGGCCCAAGTACTCACCCCAGAGCTGCACCAGGAGGACAAGCATCATGCCCGGGGACCCCATTCCTGGCCCATCAGGCCCCGTCTCCCCCTCCCAGTTCACAGACTTCCTGCCACAATCTCCGCCTCCGGCTGCAGAGGCAGATGTGACACCCAGGGCCAGACAGACAGCAGACGTCCAGTGTTCCAGGCTGCTGAGGGCTCCACGTCCTGCAACTGTGTGCCTCAGTTTCCCCAATGCTTTTTCTATCTGAAAGATAGTGTAAGGGCCGGGCAACATGGCTCAGGTCTGTAATCCCAGCACTTTGGGAAGCTGAGGCAGGTGGTCAAGACCAGCTTGGCCAACATGGTGAAACTCTGTCTCTACTAAAAATACAAAAATTAGGTGGGTGTGGTGGTGGGTGCCTGTAGTCCCAGCTACTCTGGAATCTGAGGAAGGAGAATGGATTGAACCTGGAAGGTGGAGGTTGCAGAGAGCTGAGATTGTGCCATTGCATTCCAACTGGTGTGTGTGTGTGTGTGTGTGAGTGAGAGAGAGTGAGAGAGAGAGAGAGAAAAGAAGAAAGAAAGAAAGGCAGGCAGGCAGTGTACTTAGGTGAGTGGCGGGAATGCACCCCTGTGATCTTTCTGGAAGGCTCTACATAAACACATCTGGGTACAAGAAGACACAATGAGAGAGCAGGTGACTTTGTGGGGGAGCGTCAGTCAGCATAAGCCTGAGCTGTGAGTCAAATGACAGGATCCTTACCTTAATTGTTTTGTTCCCAAAATGTCTTTTTTATGGTTGGGCACTACAGCTCATCCCTGTAATCCCAGGACTTTGGGAGGCTGAGGCAAGAGGATCACTTGAGATCAGGAGTTTGAGACCAGCCTGGGTAACATAGTGAGACCCCATCTCCATTAAAAAAAAAAAAAAAAAGATACAGGCTGGGCACGGTGGCTCATGCCTATAATCCCAGCACTTTGGGAGGCTGAGGAGGGTGGATCACCTGAGGTCAGTTCGAGAGCAGCCTGGCCAACATGGTGAAACCCCATCCCCACTAAAAATACAAAAATTAGCCGGGCCTAGTGGCCGGCACCTGTAATCCCAGCTAGTCAGGGGAGTTGAGACTGGAAAATTGCTTGAACTGGGAAGGCAGAGATTACAGTGAGCCAAGATCCTGCCACTGTACTCCAGCCTGGGCTGCAGAGTGAGACCCTGTCTCAAACAACAAACAAAAAACAGCCCAGGGTGGTGGTGCATGCCTGTGGTCCCAGCTACTCGGGAGGCTGAGGCAGGAGGATCGCTGGAGCCCAGGAGTTGGAGGCTGTAGTAAGCCATGATTGCGCCATTGCACTCCAGCCTGGGCAACAGAGTGAGTCCTTGTCTCTGAAAAAAAAAAAAAAAGCCGGGCGCAGTGACTCATGCCTGTAATCCCAGCACTTTGGGAGGCCGAGGCAGGATGATCATGAGGTCAGGAGTTCAAGACCATCCTGACCAACTTGGTGAAACCCCGTGTCTACCAAAAATACAAAAATTAGCTGGGCGTGGTGGCAGGGGCCTGTAATCCTAGCTACCCAGGAGGCTGAGGCACGAGAATCGCTTGAACCCAGGAGGTGGAGGTTGCAGTGAGTGGAGATTGCACCACTGCACTCCAGCCTGGGCGACAGAGTGAGACTCTGTCTCAAAAATAATAATAAAGTCTTCCTTTGCAGTTCAGAGAAATAGATATCTGTTGATAATTCTGGGTCCTATTACATGGCCTGGGAGAAGCCTGGGGGTCCCGTGGAGGAGGTTCATGGGCTCTGGAGTTCCTCACAGCCCTGCACCCCCCTACCCCAGATTCTGTAGTGCCTTCTGGGAGGAGGTGACAACCCACAGACCTCAACGTCTCAGACCCAGCTGCAGACTGACCTCCTTTCTCCCTGGCACCGAGAAGGCCTACAGCATTCCTCTTGACCACAGGGAGGGTCCTGCGGTCGCTTTGCCTCACCTCCCCAGCAGACACACACACCCTCCCAGCCTCCCCTGCCCACTCCTTCCCCTCCCCAGAACACTCTGAAGCCCCACCCATTCCCCCTCCCTCTGCTGAGGGACCCTGGACAAATTAGGCCCTAGGCCCTTCCAGAGCTGGACGTAGACATTCTTGGCTTCCGTGCCTGGGCTGGCATGAAGACTTCTGGAGGAGCTGTTGGAGCCTGGGGCTTTGTGGGGTGTATAGGAGTTGTTGTAACATAGGGACAAATGGAAAGAAGGCATTAGAGGCTGAACACTCTCTGGGGCAAAAGCCTTAGATTTTCAGCAAATGCAAGGCGCGAGAAGGCGGGCTAGACAATTCGAGTAGCAACGAATAACATGTGTGGGGGAACAAGTGGGGAAACTGAGGCACAGGATCTCTAGAGATGATTCTGAGGTCCCACGGCAGGGCCGAGGGTCGAGCCCCCTTGTCTTCTGATCCAGGGGTCTCTCCAGCTTACCTGTTACCGCCAACAGCGCCCGGTGAGCCCCAGGCGCTGGACGTGCGTGCTCTGGGCGAGCCCAGCTCGAAACTACATTTCCCAGGCGGCCGCGCCGGCCGCGCCTGCGCAGTGCGCGCGGTGATGGAGCGCTAACCGGGGGCGCGGCGGCGGCGAGGGCTCGGCGGGCCATTGGCTACCGGTCGCGGCAAAGGCAGCTTGGGGACCCAGAGTGCGCGGGGCCCGCGGGCCGGGCCGGGGTGACCTGGGCTGCAGCCATGGAAGAACAGAGGGTAGGACGGGGCGGGGCGGGGCCGGGCGTCGGGGCGGGGGAGGGGACCAGGTGTTACCGCAGCGCGCGCCCCCCCCCCCGCCTCCGCCCCAGCTGCTCTGCGGCCGAGGCCCCACCTCGTCGCGACCCCGCCCGGATCTAGCCCCATACTCCAATTTGGGACGGAGCCCCCCCCCCATGTTGGCTTGGGGCCAGATTCGTGCCCTCTACACCCCCCACCCCACCCAGTATCCAAGTCCCAGCCCCGACCCCCATCCCCCACGCCCTCCCTCCCGGCCGCGGACCGGGCGTCCCAGCCCCCCCCTACCCCCGGAGGACGCCACGCCAGCTCCGCAGTGCGAACCCCACCGACCCTGCCCCTGTGAAGAGGAGCCCGTGGGGAGCCTGGGTCAGAGCAAGGGGCCCCCGAGCAGGATCCTCCCTCCCAGAATCCCCTGCCCTGCCCCCAGGACACCCTGCCCCCTCCCCACTTACCTGGGGCCCCGCATCTCCGGCTCCCAGGTTCCACTTTTTTGCCCAGGTAATTTCTTTTTTCTTGCTTATCCTCCCCCAGGTAGGCCCCATCCTCAGGGGTTCCCCTTCCCTGGCTCACCCCTGCTGCGAGGCTAGCCTCTGTCCCAGGCTATCCCACTTCCCTAGGGTTTTTCCTTCCACCGAGAACCCTTTCCCCAGGTTAGCCCATTTTCCAAAAGGCATCCTTTTCCTCTGGGGTTTTCTGTCCCCAGGGTAGCCCCTCGCGCCCCACCTTCAGGATGCAGGTAACGGGTTGTAGCCTTTGTGCTCAGGCAGGCCTGGTTTGGGGCCGGGTTCTCTGAGAGGTTCTCTGAGCCTGTTTTGTCTCCTGGGCTCCCGGCTGCTAAAGGTGAGTTGTATCAGTCCAGAGCTTCACCGCTGGTGCAAAAGCTTGAAAGCGTGGCAGCACCACATCTCCTCTCTGGATCCCTGTAGGGGACCGCTGACCCTACAGGGAAGAGCCTGGTCAGGCTGCGGGGCTCACCTGCCTGCCGTGTGTGTGCGCACGTGTGTACGTGTTTGTGAACATGTGGGTGTACGTCTGTGCACATGTATGTGTCCACACTTCTGTGGTGCAGGAGGCCCTGAGGAAGATCATCACAACCCTGGCCGTGAAGAATGAAGAAATTCAGAGCTTTATCTACTCCTTGAAACAGATGCTGTTGAATGTGGAGGTGAAGGCGGTGGGGGAGTCCTGGGGCGGCGGGTGGAGGGAGGGAGGCAGAAGGATGCAGCTGAAGGAACTGGCCCATTGCTGTTGCTACCTGTGGGACGCCTCAGTTTCCCCCTCTGAACACGGGCTTTGGCCAATCCTGGCTGTTCCGAGCCAGGCGAACTCGGCGAAGGTGCAGGAGGACCTCGAAGCGGAGTTCCAGTCCCTCTTCTCCCTCCTGGAGGAGCTGAAAGAAGGCATGCTTATGAAGATAAAACAGGACCGTGCCAGCCGCACCTACGAGCTGCAGGTGAGGGTTGGGGGCATCCTCCTCCCCTCCCCACCTTTCCCACTCAACAGAGCGTAGCTGACCTGGGCATCTTTCTCCCAAACTGGGTGCTCTTGAGTTTCTGATCTCTCCCCTGGCCCCTCCCTGTCCATGGACTCATCAACCTGCCATCCACCTGTGCTCTCTCTTTTATTTTTGAGACAGAGGTCTCACTCTCGTCCAGGCTGAAGTGCAGTGGCACGATCTCAGTTCACTGCAACCTCCGCCTCTTGGGTTCAAGCGATTCTCCTGCCTCAGCCTCCTCAGTAGCTGCAATTCAGGAACCTGCCACCATGCTAGGCTAATTTTCATATTTTTAGTAGAGATGGGGTTTCACTGTGTTGTCCAGGCTGGTCTTGAACTACTGACTTCAGGTGATCCTCTTGTCTCAGCCTCCCAATGTACTGGGATTATGGGCATGAGCCACTTCACCTGGCCCACCTGTGCTGTCTCTGAATCTCCTTTCCATCATGGTGCCCCAATGTCCGGCTCAGATCTTCACCCTCCTGTCTTCACTCAGTGCCTCCAGTTTCTCCCTCCTTCCCACTGGTCCCCCAGATCTGAAGGTGTCACCTCCACTCAAACAGCTTCCATGGTTCCCATGGGCTCTGACTCAGTCTCCAAGCTGGGGTCACTCAGGCTGCATCCAGACCTCCTGGGAGACTCCTGACATGGCAGATTCCTGTCCCAGAAGCTTGGGTGTGGCCTGGGAATGTGAGTTTTTGGTTTGTTTGTGTTTTGAGACAGTCTCGCTCTGTCACCCAGACTGGAATGCAGTGGTGCAATCATGGCTCACTGCAGCCTCCGCCTTTCAGGCTCAAGCAATTCTCCCACCTCAGCCTCCCAAGTCGCTGGGACTACAGGAGCGGGCCACCACACCCAGCTAATTTTTGTATTTTTTGGTGGAGACTGGTTTTCACTATGTTGTCTAGACTAGTCTTGAACTCCTGGGCTCAAGCAATCCTCCTGCCTTGGCCTCTCAAAGTGCTGGAATTACAGGCATGAGCCCCTGTTCCTGGCCCATGCGAGTCTTTTGTTTGTTTTTCTGAGACGGACTCTCGCTCTGTTGCCCAGGCTGGAGTGCAGTGGTGCAATCTCAGCTCACTGCCACCTTCTCCTCCCAGGTTCAAGTGATACTTACCTCAGCCTCCAGAGTATCTGGGATTACAAGCACCCGCCACCATGCCCAGCTAATTTTTGTGTGTCTTGTTTGTTTTTTTGAGATGGAGTTTCACTCTTGTCGCCGAGGCTGCAGTGCAATGGCACAATCAGCTCATTGCAACCTCTGCCTCCCGGGTTCAAGTGATTCTCCTGCTTTAGCCTCCTGAGTAGCTGGAATTACAGGCACCCGCCGCCACCATGCCTGGCAGATTTTTTGTAATTTTAGTAGAGACAGGGTTTCACCATGTTGGCCAGGCTGGTCTCAAACTCCTGACCTTGTGATCCGCCCACCTTGGCCTCCCAAAGTGCTGGAATTACAGGTGTGAGCCACCATGCCCAGCCTTAAGTTTTTCCACTTTTAGTAGAGATGGGGTTTCACCATGGTGGCCAGGGTAGTCTTGAACTCCTGACCTCAGGTG